ATTAAAATGTGGAAAAATCAAATAGAACAGTTTGTCTAGTTTGTAAATAATCTTACCATTGACACTGCTGTTAATAGAATGCTAGTTTAAAAATGAGAAGAGGTAAATTGATTGAGGACAGAGAACTTTGTTCAAAGCTAAGTGCACACAATAACCCTTTCCTTTGTCCTTTTGTTTTAATACTGCTAGTATGTAATTGAAAATAATATTGTCATCTGCAAAACTAATGCATCTGAGATAATTAGCTTATGATAACCAGTATGGTGTAGTCATTAAGGGGTCCCCAGTTCAAGATCAGACTCTGCCATGGAAGCTTATTCTCTTTTAATCCAATTTATCTAACAGGATTGTTGAGGGAAAAAATTGGAGGAGAGACTGCTGTGGAGGCCACCTTAAGCTTCTGGAGGAATGGAGTCATTTAAATCTAACAAGTTTTATTCAAAAGGGTATCATAATAGCACAAGACTATATCTTTTGAATCAGTGTGGCATTATCATCCTAAGCAATTAGTTGAATGTCCTGTTTTTTCCTGAAAAAGATACATATTTGTCAAATATACATAAACAAATATTTTGATCAGTAAATCAAAATTCTAATTCTGTAGAAATCTGATTCATAAAAGTCAAAAATCTTAAATATGATAATTAAAGTTAAAAAATAAAAAATAATATCCATTGTTATTGATGGAATCAAATTGATAAGCACAATCCATCCTCCAGTCCAGAGGGTTTAATCTAACCTCCCATTTGTAATTTCCTAGTAGTCCATTTTGCAGAATTATATTGAAAATCTAACCCTTCTTGAAAATAGCCTTCAGAAATGTTGCTGTTTAAATATGAGATAATAGATATCATGCTGTTCCTGTTTAGCCCTGTTTGCAGTTGTAACCAAATTCTGAATCAAAATAATATCAACAGTAAATTTAGGATTTGTAATATCAGTCCTGCATAGCACTTCATACACGATTGTGTTACTTTGTAGTCACTGTAGATGTATTTTATTATGCGTTGCAAAATACAAGTAGTATTGTTATTAAAGTTACTGTAATATTATAATCTACCATGTTTCCCCAAAAATAAGACCCTGTCTTATATTTTTTTGAACTCTGAAATAAGTGTTTGGCCTTACTGCCATGTGCTCAAAAGCCCAATTGGGCTTATTATCAAGTGATGTCTTATTTTGGGGAAAACAGGGTACTTGTAGGGGGAGAACTGCAGTTTTCACAGTCTGAATGCAGATGGAAATTACGAAGGAATTACTTTATTTGTGCATTGTAATGATGGGGATCTTCATTATTTAAACAGATTTATTGTAAAAGTAATAGCAATAAAAAAAAGAAATAAGCTTGAACAAAGCAAGGAAGCAGAAAGAAGTATAAATTGAATTTTCTTCAAGTTTAACATGTTGGGGAACTGCATTTTTCTCATGGCCATATGCTAGAAGTTGAGTAATGTATAATGGGAACAGGAAATATCCTGTATTCAAGTAGCACACTTCTGCTCACAATATAAAACCTTATGTAGTAGAGTACCATTGGTATACAAGAGGAAAATATCAGTCTTCTAGGAACACCAAATTGTGGAGAAATGGGCACCTTAGGGTTAGCAATATTGATCACATTCAGTGGACCCAGAATGCTAAAAGTGTGAAATGTTAGGAAAATAGATAAATGGAGCAAAAGAATGGAATACTCCTTTTAGACCAACTGAATAGAACATTGCCCTCCACACCATAACATTTAATTCACCCTTCGTGACAATAAAGAATGTAATTGACTCAAATGTCTTTTTCCCACTTACGTATAATATGCAAAGCCAAGCTAGACAACTTAGATACACATTGAAACTAACCTTACGGCACATTTTTTTCCAAAGCAGGCATTGTGCCTCCACTATATAGCAATCACTTTACAGCGCTATCTGACCATCTGAGCATTTTAAAAATACTTGGCAAGTTTTAGCATATAAAAATATTCAGAGTGGATCTTCAAAGAGTTTTTGACGTTGTTCTGTTCTTAAAAGTGAGCATTTACACTGCTCAGGGCGATTTTGAGGCAAGATAACCATGAAGTGATAATATGGAAATGAACATTTTATTTATTCATTTATTTATTTATTTAAAATAGAACTTCATATAAAATAAAGGGAAAATCTAAGGAGAGCCTTTGAGGGTTGTGAAAAGTGAAACAGGCAGAAATAGAAGGGAAAAAAAACCCTCAAAATGAATCTGTCAGAACCTTGGTAGTTGGGGAGTCCCTGTCAGTCTCTTAGCATTGTGAATAGAGACTGCTGAATAAAAAACGTTTAGGGCCTTGGAAATGAAACGAAAGAAGGCCTATTTTTATCAACATTAGATTTTCATACCAATATCTTTATGTCGGACACACTTTAATAAGTGGGGTTTGAGAGGGAAGCAGAAGTGAAACAGATTAATTTTCTTTTGCATGTCGAAAAGGTGAATTTTTAATGTACAGTATATGCTTTAAAAAAAATCTCAACTGCAGAAAACAAATGCCAATGGCTAGGGAATTGCCATTTTGAAACTATTTTGATTGAATCGGTCTTAGTCTTTCTTTTAATTCAAAACAATATGACAGCTATTTTGCAGGAACATCCCTTGTATCTGGTAGTAAATTCTTTTGCAGATTTTAAAAATCGAAGACTCATTCGGCCATGAGTATCCAGCCAATATTTCTAGGTGTCAATTATTATTTTTATTTTTTATTAATTCAACTTATATACCGCTCTTCTCCCCAGGGGGACTCTGGGTGGTGGACAGCCAAACTTAAAACACATATAGTTCAAAAGTTAAGAAAAAACTAAAATAAATTAAATCATTAGCATTTCCAATTTAAAATCCCAGATCTGCAAAATCGAAAAGTTCCCAATTTAAAACCCAGAATCAGTATAATCGAAAATTTAAAAACCCCATTAAAACCATTTAAGCTAGGCCAGCTTGTTGGAATAAATAAGTCTTCAGGGCCTTTCGGAAAGCGCGGAGGTCCGGGATCAGTCGTATTCCAGGAGGAATACGACTGAATTGAAGACTACCTTTTCATTCAGGGTTTCTGCTTTCCTTTTCTCTACCCACACCCCAATTTTAATTAAGATGATTTTACAGTGCTTTAGTTTATTGTATAATTTTTATTTGTAAATTGCTTCAAGTCATATTTGCATGGGAAGTGGTATAAATTATTATTGATAAATAAAAAATAATTAGCTGTATAAAATCAGTTTAAGGAAGCAGAACATTCATTATTTTGAAGCCATGTGGCTTTGTAAGATTGTGTACTTGATTTGCCGTTAGATCACATTTCAAAAAAAGGGTTTGTTAAAATCCATTCATGGATAAGCTGAGGCAAAATGTATTGTTAAAACAGCTTTTTGACAGAATATACTATAAATTTTAACATACCTCTGTGATTTCTGTCATTTTTTATGCTACCATTGTGTTTTTAAGAAGCATTAATGGTCTAGACTTTTTTTCACATTTATATTGAAGAAAGAAATATTTAACTCTGAGTAGTAATAATAATAGGAGCACTGACTGTTGAATCAACCTCAGAATTGGCATAAAACACCTTCTCTCTTTCAAATGCCTCAATTGCTAGGATTAAGAGGCCTTTCTTACATTTTGGACTATAACACCAATATTAATTGCTTCTAGAAAGCTATAGTTGAAATTCATATTGTTCCAAAGCTCTAGCATACATTTGGAAATACCAGCATTTCTATGGCCATTTGCCCACTATTAAAATTGGGGAGGGAAAGCGGGGGGAATGAGAGTATTATATTCTCAAGGCATGAATATCCCTCCATCCATTTATGATTTCTTAGTACACCTTAATTCTTAATATAGCCAACACTTTGGGAAGTAGTATCTGTGTACTTAAATTGTCTGGTTTACTTACTGATTATCTTCTCTCCCAGCTTGTATATGAGAGTAAGACAGTTTGCTGTTTCATTCATGAACTGGCTCACATTCATTTATTGTGTCTTGTCATATTCAGGGCAAGTACCCATGATCAAAATAATTAAATGTCAGGGCCCATGTACCATTAGCAGTTAGTATGTCTGATCATGTTGCCATGTTTCTTTTTTATGGTGTGTATGTATTATCTTCTAGTAAAGCAGAAGTCAGGGGGGAAAAGAAACACGATATTCTCCTGATCTATCACTCCTGTTTGTTGTTGCTGGGGGGGAAAAAAACCAGGATTAGAAAATGTTAATTTTTTCTTCATAAAACAGCTGCTTTGAAAAAATCAAGGAGAATACCTAGGAATTTATCTGAATTAGTGTTTCACAATGAAGGGATTCACATTTTAAATATTGATAGCAAATCTGTCCTGCATGTCCAGTATTCCATTTTATACTTTGTAAAATCATGAATGTTGAGTTACAGGTTGCCTACGCTGCCTTTGATAAAACTTTCTAGGAACTGTCAAACCTATATTCTGGATATTTCAAGGAAAAAGAAGGATATTTTAGAAAGGCAAATAAATTGCTGATCTTTTCTTATTAAATAATTGGTATGATTGTTTCATTAAACACAATTCAAATGCAGTTCTAATAGCTATTATTCAATTATTATAGTAGCTTAAACATCAGTTTATCAAAGCTTTTGATAAAGGGGATGATGGAATGATTTCTATTTGTACACAAGATTAATTTTTCAGATTTAGACATAATTCTAATATTCAGTTTTAACTGGATGCTAAATGTGATTGAGTAGAACCTTGGATTGGAATATGGAGAAATGTAAGTTGGTTTCTTCTATGTTGGTATTAAAACTTTAAAGAATTTATATGCTATAAACTAGGACCGAGTTTAGGATGAAGATGGATTTCAGGCATGTACAGATTATGTTAAACAAGAACAGATGACTCCTCTTTATTAAATATGTTTACATTGCAACTGTTGGGGGGGAAGTTTATTTATAGTTCTCTAGGTTACTTTTCTAATTATTCTCCCTTTTTCTCTGTCCCTTCTTTTTCTCAACAGGTAAAGATGAGCCTTCAAGCTATATTTGCACAACATGCAAGCACCCTTTTAATAGCGCTTGGTTCTTGCTTCAGCATGCCCAGAATACACATGGATTCCGCATCTACTTGGAAACTAGCCCTTCAAACAGCTCCCTTACTCCACGCATCACCATCCCTCCTCCTCTGGGACCTGAGACTGTTGCACAGTCCCCGCTGATGAATTTCCTAGGCGACAATAACCCTTTTAGTCTCTTGCGAATGACAGGTCCCATCCTGCGTGATCATCCTGGCTTTGGTGAGGGTCGGCTTCCTAATACACCTCCCCTCTTCAGTCCACCACCTCGTCATCATCTGGATCCACATCGCCTTAGTGCCGAAGAAATGGGGTTAGTTGCCCAGCATCCTAGTGCCTTTGACAGAGTCATGCGTTTAAACCCCATGGCAATTGAGTCGCCAGCGATGGATTTCTCCAGAAGGCTTCGAGAACTGGCAGGAAACAATGCCACCCCACCACCAGTCTCGCCTAGTCGCAGCAACCCTATGCATCGCTTATTGAATCCTTTCCAGCCAAGCCCTAAATCTCCTTTTCTGAACACCCCTCCATTGCCACCAATGCCTCCAAGCAGCACTACGCCTCCTCAGCCTCAGGCAAAGAGTAAGTCCTGTGAATTTTGTGGAAAAACCTTCAAGTTTCAGAGCAATCTCATTGTCCACCGGCGCAGTCACACAGGAGAGAAGCCCTATAAATGCCAACTCTGTGACCACGCTTGTTCCCAAGCCAGCAAATTAAAACGCCATATGAAAACACATATGCACAAAGCTGGATCCATGACAGGGAGGTCTGATGATGGATTATCTGCTACAAGTTCCCCAGAGCCTGGCACAAGTGAACTTACTGGAGAGGGACTAAAATCTAGTGAGGCAGATTTCAGGAATGAGAGTGATCCTTCTTTAGGCCAAGACAATGAAGAAGAGGAGGAGGAAGAGGAGGAGGAAGAGGAGCTGGAAAATGAAAGTCGACCTGAGTCAAGCTTTAGCATGGATTCAGAACTAAGCCGTAACCGAGAGAATGGTTCCAAATCGCTGCCAGATGAAAAATCCCTTGTCCTAGGAAAAGTGATAGAGAATGTAAGCCTCGGTACCATCCAGCAATACAGTGACATGCTGGCTGAAAAGCAGAAAAGAGGTGGCTTCATGAAAAGGTCTTCAGATCAGCGAGATCTCTGCCCTCGAGACCTTTGCCAGAGAGACACAGGTGATGAAGACTCAGTAGCTGGAGAACTTGACCGCACTGAGGAAGGGACAGTGAATGGGAGAAACTTTGGGCCAGGTGAACCCTTCCCAGGGCTATTCCCTCGCAAGCCCACCCCTATCACAAGCCCCAATTTAAACAATTCCTCGAAAAGAATAAAGATAGAAAAAGATTTGGACTTGCCACCAGCAACAATAATACCTTCTGAAAATGTTTACTCTCAGTGGCTGGTAGGATACGCAGCATCAAGGCACTTCATGAAGGATCCATTTCTAGGATTCACAGACTCCCGACAATCCCCCTTTGCAACTTCTTCTGAGCATTCCTCAGAGAACGGAAGCCTGCGTTTCTCTACTCCACCAGGTGATATGCTGGATGGTGGTCTCTCAGGGCGCAGTGGGACGGCGAGCGGAGGCAGCACCCCTCATATCAGCGGACCCGGTCCCGGTCGACCCAGTTCAAAGGAAGGACGGCGGAGTGACACGTGTGAATACTGTGGCAAGGTCTTTAAGAACTGCAGTAACTTAACGGTGCATCGCCGGAGCCACACAGGAGAGCGGCCTTACAAATGTGAGCTCTGCAACTATGCATGTGCCCAGAGCAGTAAGCTGACACGTCATATGAAAACGCATGGCCAGATAGGGAAGGAGGTCTACCGCTGCGACATTTGCCAGATGCCCTTCAGTGTTTACAGCACCCTGGAGAAACACATGAAAAAGTGGCATGGCGAACACTTGCTGACAAATGATGTAAAAATTGAGCAGGCAGAAAGAAGTTAAACCCCCCACCCCCAACTGGGTTAAAAGCAGGGGTCTAGGTAACATTTAAATTGTACAGTTTAACTATTGCCAATTGAGAAAAGCTGACCTAACTTGCCTCCATAAACATATCTTAGTGTAACTATGGCAGGTGCCAGAATTTGGCACTTAAATATAACCTGTGTCTACAAAGTTCTATTAAACCTGAGGATTGGTTAAGGCAGTAAAAATTGTGAAGCCTTTTAACTGTGCAATAATTTCTGTATTTATTGGGTTTTTTTGTTTATGTTTTGGCATGTGCAGGTACTTTTTTAATACTTTTTTATTTTAGATTTCCTTTAAAATTTTGTTGGGTATCCCATTCTAGTTTTCCCCAATAGTAACCTGAGATTCTTTGCATTACAAGGGGAGAATACATATCGATTTAAATTATAATTTTAGAGGGCCGCTGCTTTGTTGAATCTTACGCTGAGTATGTGTAATTTCTTGTGAAGAAGCCAACATTTTATGTTTTTGTTGTTGTTGTCCTTTAAAAAGAAAAAAAAATCATTTGAGAATTAGGAAATATTAAATAGTATCGCGGATAACAATCTTAAAATTTTAGCACTTTCTTTTGGATTTGGATTTAAAAATTAGCACTGATGATGCCACTTAAAATAGAGGCCTTTATTTAAAATATTATTTTTAACAGATTCTAAAATAAACATTTTGAGAAATAAAAAAAATGGGCACCAAATTTTCTAAAGGCAGCTATAATAACAAAAGCAATAGCAAAATTTGTGCATTATTTTTAGGGAATTTGTTTAAATGCCTTATCCATTTTCTTTTCTGCCGTTTTCTACAGTTCAGTAAATAAGGAGAAACTCAGGGTCCTGAGAGCTTCATTGCCAATCTTAGGAAGCAAAACAGAAAGAAAAGGTTGATTGTGGGTTTTTTTTTTTTTTTTTTTTTTTGCAGGCATGCCACTTATCCTTGTTCACATTACACATTATGCACACAGTAATTTTCACTTGATAACCCGAATATGTACATTTACAGTAACTGACCATTCTATACCAATATGCAGCAAAAGACTAGTGAGTGTTTTAACTGAAGAGTAGTTTAATTAGTAAACTTTTTTGAGTATATGTGTGCATCAAGAAATGCATACACAATATGAGTAAAATGATGTTTTGATTATGCCATTCACTGAAAAACCATCAAATCAGGTTGAATCTGCATAAATTTGCTTAGGAGTAAACAAAATCTCTGAAGAAAAAGATACATTTTTGTTTTAGAATATGTGGGAGTAGGTGTTCATTTTAGAGGAGTCATTCCATGTATGTGAAATGAAGGCGTGCATAGTGCATGCTCTGTGTGCAAAAAGTTCCCAGTCATTTTTTTTTTTTTAACATCCTCAGGTTGGGGTAGGAAACATCCATTTCTGAAATTCTGCAAAGTGTTGTTCATGTGTTTGGCAATTCCAAACTGGACAAATTAACTACCTATCAGACAGCCTGTTTTAATAGTTAGGAAAAAATGCTTTCTCTTATATGATGTTTACTATTAGCATTTTATAATTATATTAGTTTACTAACAAAAAAAAAGTTGCCCAATTAATCATAGATTTCTTTATTTACTTACTGTACAATTGTACTATATACTGAGAATATTGTTCTGAGAGTAAGCCCTGTTAAAGATCGTGAATATGCTTTTTAAAGCTGATTAATCAATTAAACTGCCGCTCTAAATCTTAAATCATTATCATACCATGAACTTTTTCTAAATGTTGTCCTGATTCAATAGGTATTATTTAATTATAAAATAGGTTAATCCTTTTTTCTAGTTTATTCTAATAATTCTTTTGAAAAGAAATTCCACACAATTATAACACTTTGCAGCAAAGAATTGGATGCCAGCTATTTAGCTAATGTAAAAACATGTACTTTAAACAAGATGGATAACGAACAGAATTTTATAGTGTACCTATCTATGTCACTGGAAAACTAGATATTTCACTTGAAACCATATCAATCACAAATAGAAGTTGTATCATCTAGCCCTTTCCCCAAGGATTAGTTTTTGGGACCAGTATTTTTAAACTTATTCATAAATGATTTAAATTAAGGCTGAGCAGCTAGTGGCCAATTTGCTGAAGACATTTCATTATTTTAGGTGGTTAAAACAACAGATTGCAAAGAGCTCTAATAGAACTCTTTTCAAACTGCATAACTGGGCATTAAGAAGGTCATTGCAGTTCAGAATAAAAAGTATACTACCATATATTTTTTTATTCCTAATATCATGAGTCCTTTTATGAGGTCTAGCTGGCACAGATACACCCAGAAATGGATTTTACAAATAGTTATAGTTAGTTTAAAGATAACATTGAAGCAGTGTACAGTTCTTATAAAAACAACAGTAAAAGTGTTACTTCAAAGTAGGGATCATCAGAAAGGAATAAAAATAACTAAATTTCCGGATACTATAATATCTTTATAAAGATATAAAGATATATATTTAATAGTTATATTCATTATGTAATCATACTCAGATGTCTGTGTATGTTTCTGGCCACAGCATCTCCCAAAAAAAAAACCCAAAAAAACCCATACTGGAAAATATATAAAGATATATATTTAATAGTTATATTCATTATGTAATCATACTCAGATGTCTGTGTATGTTTCTGGCCACAGCATCTCCCCCCCAAAAAAACCCCATATTGGAAAATGTGCATGAAAGGCAATAAAATTATCAAGGGGCAAGAGCAATTGCTTTGTGAGGAAACATTACATCTGGGACTTTTTAGCTTAGATAAAAACAAGTAGCTTGGGAGAAAACAAACATGTATAAAATTATGCCTACTGTGGAGAAGCTTTTCTTTCAGTTATTAGAATCAGGATTATCCGATAAAGTTGAATGTTTGAAATTATTTCAAAACATATATCTCCAGAACATGAATGTAATATTACCCCTTCGGTTTAATCTTAGGAACAGTTCTTTATCTGTTTGTAATATAGTGATTTTGCCTGCTTCAGTTACTGTTCCAAGAACTTCATCATCCAGAGTCACTGGTTTGAGATGGGCAGCTATACGAATTGAATGAATGAATGACTTAATTGAATGAATAAATATATCTCCAAACTCAATTTCCAATATTTCTATAAATTACACAGACATTTATAGCTTCATTGTAGGATCCTTTAATTTTTCTTCTGGCATTATCCTCTATGTTGCCATAATTGTATGGAGAATAAACAGGGCCATGGCTGGTGTTCTCATACTCTGTAAGTTATGGTAACACTTCTTGAACATGCTATGTTCAGACAGGATCAATGTATGATTCTGAAACCCTGATGAACAGATTTGAAAGGTGCCTTTATATATATGCATTTTCATCACATGGAATGCCTGCGATTTACATGACAATCTACAGAGTTCTCATGAAATCAGCTGAAGCCTTCCTCAGGCTCCTAAAATAATGCTTAAATTGGGCTCATATTTAAAGTTCATCTCCTTTTGAAATGGCCAACTTCAAAGAACAACTGAATAAATAGTAAGATTATACGTCCCCCTAACTTTGCCCATTATTTAGCAGATACCAACTAGCATAACATCCAACACCCTAATAGTTGCCTTAGAAACAGCCTACCAGCCACATATGGTAGTTCACCAAAGGCTTCCTGTTTTGGCTGCTTGCCGGAGATACAGAAGCAGAGATTTTCAAGTACCTGGCAGGCCCCTATATTGCTGGTGATTTGTAGTCAGCTTGTACAGATTTCTAACTAATGGCATGCTGAAGCCAATACATAAGGCTGCTAATCATCACAGTTAAACACTCATGGGAACACTTGTAAGAATACTAGACCCCGAGATTAGAATGTAAACAGCATTTTCCTTCAAAAAGTTGCTCTTGTATGGTTGCATAAAACATGACACAACTCTTTAGACAATCTTCATAGTTTTTAAACTAGTTCAAAACACGAGTGGACACAAGGCAGATGTTGCTCCCCATATTAGTGAAAGTTTAACTTTTGATTGGCCCACAGGTATATTTGCACTGGCTTATGAGGCCAGCAACTTTACATTAAACACAGCAACGTTTTTATTGTTGTTATGGTCATTTAATCAAAATGTTTCTTAAGAAAATTTAAGTCTGATAGTAAACCTTTTCATTGGATCTCAGTAGTAAGCTCATACCCAACAATGATAGATGCATTAGGTACAGCAAATATTATATAAGGACCAATTGAACTGAAGAGGCATTTTTTCATTAACATTCTCATATAATGCACAGTTATGTTATTGTAAGGAAAATAGGTCAACAACCAGTCTTTTAGGTGGGTGCCATTGAGACAACTTGTAAGAATTAAATTTGTTAGGAAGGTTTTAAATTTTGCAGCCTTTCAAATGGTACTAAAATGAAAGGTGCTTGATTTCACTAAACTCTTGAGTTTGAAATTGCAGACCTGAGTCCTTTAAAGCAAAATGTAAAATGCAATTTCTTCATAAATTCTGAATTTATACAGTTATACAAAGCTCTTCTTAATGTCTGAAATTAAAACTTTCTTAAGAACTCAGCCATTCTAAATAAGATGTTTTGCTTATGCATTTTTTAATTTAGCATTTTTTTAAAAAAAATACATTGTTTTTGTACATTTGTTTTGCCACAAACATTTCAGTCCCATTTTACACATTGCATAGTTATTGGAGATTCTTCATATATATTAAATATTTTTTCCAATTAAATTGTAAATGGTAAATAGAGGTTCTTTTAATGGGAGTTGCTGAAATGTTCCCTGAATTACTGAAGTCACTAATCGCTTCATTGTTACTTCTGTTTGAATATTTTATTGAAAACCCTTTTAATTCGGAACCTTCATTTGGTAAATAACATTGATTTGAAGAAGAAAATATATTGTAGTGTTTATTCACTTTATTCGCTTTGCTTTTCTGTTTCTAGTTCCATGGTTCTTCTGAGGGAAGCATGGACAGTGGCTAGAAGAGATAGAGGCTCTTCTTCATTTTCTTCTCCTCAACTTGAGTATTTTGACTGAGAGCAAAGCCTAATTTCTTTAACTGACATGTTAATTGATCAGACGTGGAACAATATGCTTTCCCTTATTTACAAAGATCCTTTCATCCTGACATATAATATTTTTTGCGAGTTATTATAGCTCTAATTCTTTGCTGTTCTTTTAGTCTTTCAGATCAGAACAGGTGCCCTAAGCTGAAATGTCAATCTTTATCTGTTTGTATATGTTTGTGTGCTTTTGATGTAGTGGTTAAGTCATCAGGCTAGAAACCAGGGGACTGTGAGTTCTAGTCACGCTTTAGACACAAAGCCGGCTAAATTATCTCGACTAGTCACTTTCTCTCAACTCTAGGAAGGAGACAGTGGCAAACCACTTATGAGAAACTTTGCCAAGAAAACTTGCAGGCAGTCTCCAAGAATTGACATATTGGACGGAAGGAAAAACAAAACACACGTGAACACACATATCCATATACAAATCTTCATAACCTAAGACTTTCTAGGTAATAATTTGAAAACCCCTGATATAGTTAGTATACATTATTATAAAATTTACATTTGATTCTGTTGACCCGCACTTTAAAGCTATTTTTCTTTTGTTTATTTGTTTGCATTGAAGACCAGTGGCTTCTAAACAAGAAATTACAGCATTTTTGTCTTTGCTTGGCCCAGAGATGGGTGAACTATTAAAGGGGGACATCTGAGATTAAGTGTCAGTGTTGCTAAGCATGGCATTCACAATACTGGCACTATAAAAAACTAATAATAATTTATTGGACAGTTTTTTTACTGCCATTTCAATTTGATGTGAGTGCCTTGAAAACTGATCTTCCTATTTCAGTCTCTTGAGACACATGCAAACAATTTTTGTGAAATGAAAAGACTTTTCAGAAAAGATAGAACGAGAAAGGTATGTTCTTTAGATGAAAAAACAAAGAGCCACATTTACATTTTTAAAAAAAAGCCTGGTTGAAGATAGTGGACATGAAACTGCCATAAGACCCAATCAAATGAAGATGTATATCCAGCACAACTTCGGACATCCATTTGCTGAATTATTCTCAGCCTTTCTCTTTTTTTTCAGGACAACGCTGCTTAGGAAATGGAATGGAAATGATTTACTGCTGAATTAAAACTCAAATGACACAAATTGCAAGTTGTTATCATTGAATGAAAAATAATTCAGGAACAACGGCTAATTTTTTAAAAAGTTAAATTTAGTGCACTCTGTCTTAAAATACGTTTACAGTATTGAATACATACAAGGGTAAAAAAATGTGTGTATGTGTGTTTGAGCAATCTTTTTTTTTTCAAAGTTTGCTTAATAGGTTATTAAAAATGCCATAATGGCCATGTGTATATTGTTTTCTTTTGGTGACGGGGTTTTAGTATATATTATATATATTAAAATTTCTTGATTACTGTAAAAGTGGACCAGTATTTGTAATAATGGAGAATGCCTGGGCATTTTACAAAACCAGAAAAAAAAAAACTTTTCTCTTTTTTCCTTGAAAATGTTGCAGTAAAATTTAAATGGTGGGTCTATAAAATTTGTTCTTGTCACTGTAACTGTAAAGTCTGAGTTTTAGTATTTTTTTTTCTGCCTTGGGTGTTGAATTTTTATTTCAAGAAAAAATGTATAGAAACTTGTATTTGGGGATTAAAAGGTGACTGCTACACCATGTAGAAAAAGTACGTAGAAAAAAATGCTTAATATTGTTATTGCTTTGCAGATTAAAAAAAAAATCACATTTCTGACCTGTACCTATTTTTATCTCTTCCTCCCTTCCCCACCTTCTCCCTTCCCTCTTCTTCTGGAATGAATATTGATATTGGTTGATTCATATAATGTAGGCACTTGCTGTATTTTTACTGGAACTTGTAATTTTTTAACTGTACGCTTGTCCTTTTAAAGGGATTTAATGTACTTTTTTGTTAGTGAATTTGGAAATAAAAATAAAAACAAACAAACAGGCTGCCATAATATATTTTTTTAATTTGGCAGGATAAAATAGTAAAAAAAATTTGTATGTCAAGACCTTATTGTACAGAAGAAGGTAAAGTAAAACGGTTGTTTGACAACCTGTGGGTAAAAGAAAAAAACCAATTATTATTTTTAATTATTGGAGGGTGCGATAGGGGTATTAAATTTTGTTTCATTTAAAATTTTTGTTCACTATTTTAGTTGTGTGCATGTGTATATATATATATGTATGTATATATATATATATAAATATATATATATATAAATATTTTTTGTGTCAGAAATGGCCTACAAAAAAACTGCTTGTTCCTTCAAGGCAGTAATAACTTTGAAGCTGCCTGGACCCCTTGTATCAAGGCCTTCCCAGGTATAGTTGAACTAGGTGGTTGGCTGTTGTCTGTTGTTAGAAGAAATTTCATTTTTGTGAACTTGTTTGACTTAACATTCCACAATTCCCCTCAAAGGGAGGTGACTTTTTCCTAGCAAATGTAAACTTTCTAGCTACGTTCCATAAAACATATATGTGTGTTTAAGGTATCCAGCGATACTGAATTAGATGGCACTGCATATCCTGAGGGATGAAATGGTCTGTATGCTGTCCTTCTCTCATCATTGAACAGATGGTAGTACTCTGTCAACTGTGGGTTAAGGGAATGCGTAACCAGACCTCAACTCACCCAACAGTGCAAGGTTTTCTACTATGTAAAGCCTTCTTCCTTCAGAGGGGCCTGATCTGGAGACTTTATGGGATCAGGGTACCTGTTTATTTCCACCTTCTACCCTATTCTCTTCACAGCTTTCAGGTGAAGTCATTTTAAAAGGGAAAAAAGAAGAAAGAGCAGCATTCTGTTGAGTACAACTGTGAATTGCAGTGGAGTAAAAATTGGTCCAGGCGCATCCTACTTTTTTTCCCCTTTCTGTAAGAAAGGGACCATTGTACAGGTTTTGCCAGTCTATGTTCTTTTGTCTGCTTTGCTGCTATTGTTGACTCCTAATTGTACATTCCATAAATTTTACAAATATTTGAAGGACTAGGATGAAATTCTGTACTTATTTTATTGACTAAGTTATCTTTCCCCTCCATCTTTTATTTTATTTGGGTGGAGTAAGGCAGGGAGAAATTGCTGAAGTCTCTTGAAAAAGCTACTGATAACTTTACCTAAGAGGGTTCTAATAATGTTATGGAAAAAAAATCATTGAGAGAAACTGATCACAAAAACAAAACACAGATTTAGATCTAAAATGTCTCAGTTATGAAGAGGGCTTTTCCTGACCATGCAATGTTTTTTGTGCAGTGGAGAGATACTACTTATGGAAAGATAGATCTTCATTAATTCTCCTTTCCCAACAGTCTTATCCCCTTCCCAATTTCTTCCATCCCTGAGAACATCTTTTGCTAAATTTAGGGGCAGTGAACAACAACAATGACAAATAGGTGAGGGTCTCGTTCTCAGTGCAAAATGTCAAAATGTAACTCTCTTCAAAAAATGCTACGGTCAGGAAAAGAAGATGCATCTAACATATTCCATCTCTTCCAAATTAGGGATAAAATAATGCTGGAAGAAAAATCCATTGTGGAAAGACAGTTCACTGGATGTATCTCTAATGAACTTCAAATAGCAGATAATAAATTTAACTTCTTAAAGGCATATTCCACAGTATTTTATGCATTTGACTTTTCCTTAATTGGGATATGGACGGTGAATTCTTCTGGAATATTTTTGGACAAAATTCAGGAGTATAATTTTTATTCCAAGATGCTAGTTTCACTTTATTCTGTAATCAATTGAATTCAAGATCTGTCACTTAGGCTCTTTTTCATTGTAGATGAACTCAATTCTAAACCACCAGCAGCTGTGATTTGAATACCTGAGAATACAGTATGTGGTATTCTAAAGCACAAATGTTATATTCAGTGAAACTATCAGGACTCCTCCTTTTCTGCTTTTAGGATTCCAGTTTTACAAGGCACAATGTGATAGGCATATCCTAGTTATCTCTGCTGTTACAACTGAAAAAAATAAATTTTGTTTAAGTCAAAATTATTCCATATTTCAAGCCTGTCCCACACTTGTTAAAATTCATTCACAGAGCATTTCTGGGGTGACTTTTTTAAAAATAAAAGGATGTAAAATAAAAAATAAGTTGTACTTTTTGTATACTGCCATGACTTCAGCATTTCATCCTAGTCCTGATCACAGTCCAAGGTTTTATTTTCACAGGCATACTCATTTTATGGTGCTCTTTGTATTAGAATTGCAAAGCAAAGTATTGTTGATTTCAGTTGTTTGCATTTGTACCAGCAAGTAAACTATTTTTATTACCTTTTTCTATTTCTTATTGTATGAGCTTTCGTTGTTTACTTGGAGGTTTTGTCTTTTACAACAAGTTTGGAACTATTTATTATTGCTTGGTATTTGTGCTCCATTTAAAAAAACCGGAGCACATTTTCTATTATGGATACAAATGTTGAGATGGCAGGATGTCATTTCAATATCACTTAGTAAAATATTTATTGTTCCTTTTATTCTCTGTACAAGACTTTTGGCCTCTTTTTTCCCCTTACTGTCATATTGTTGAGTTCAGCATGTGTCTACCATTTCATTTGTACACTCATTCAAACAACGTTTGTTCCAGTTTCAAGTTATAAAAAAATAATAAATTGGACATTTGACATGATCTCCAAATATTGTCTTTACTGCTTATTTTAAGGAGTTCAAACTAGCATGGATTATATGGAAGACATTTTCTTTAACTAAAAAAATGTTTTAGACTCCATATTATTTTATGGGGAGGGTAGGGTTGTTAAAATATGCTGCTAAGTTCCTTGTATACAGCAGCCTCAGAACACTAATTCAATATGAAAGTGTACTTTCAAACTTGTAAGAACACTTGTTCGATTTCCCTTTTTGCCTTTGTACATGTGGATAAAAGGAAAGTTTTTCATCTGAAAGCAAAGTTGTGGTTATTCGAAGAGACTCAAGTACTTGTATTCCTTGTTCAAGGAGTAAGTCTAGTTTCTTGGACTTCATATTCAAATTTTATTTATTTATATAGTCACTCAACACAGACAAGTGGCATTACTAAAAAAAAAAAAGCAAAACCATCAAATATAAAAATAATGCATATTATTGTGCACTAATACAATAATGTGATAATCAAGGCTGAAATATAATGTAATTCTTCAAAGTTGAATCCTGGCCCAAAGTCCAGCTCTTAACTGCCCTTATAAAAACCTCATAGCTTTATACCTTCAGTTATATCTACAGTAGTAGAATGAAGAGAACGGGAGTGTTTGTTTATTTATTTATTAGAATTTGTCAAATAAAAATGAGAACAAGAATAAATGAATAAAAATACAATGACAGGGATGATAGGCAGGTTAGTGCACGCCTCTCTCTACTGATCACTTAAGTATGATGTAAGGTCCACGGAAGTCAATTTGTGACTGAAACTGAAAATTTGTAGCTAAACCAACTGAATCAGGTAGAACATTCCAGACTTGTATAGTGTATAGGATGCACAAACAGTCTTCACCATTAAAATGATTGGGGAGCACTTTGTTCACAGCAGGAGTTAAGAGAACTTTACCCATATCAAGTAAATATGCTTAAGCAGTGTGTTTTGATGAAAGATCAGTCTAAATAATATTAGAAACTGAAAATGTGTTTGGAGTTAAAAAAGGGAAGGGGCGTTAGTCCTACCCGATACGCCCATTTTCAGGAGGGGATGAGAGACTCCAGGCATGGGTTGACTCTTGTCCTATAGCTCTATAGACTGAGTTTAAACTGAAGAGACGCCCTCTGCTGATGCTTCCAGTTTCGACGATGTCACAGTGAGGTCTCAGGACGTAGTACCTGTAACAACACCCCAAGGATACCCTGGACCAGACCTCTCTGGGGCTGGAGTCTCTCCTCCTGAAAATGGGCATATCAGGTAGGACCAACGCCCCTTTTCCAGGTAGGGGGCTTGAGACTCAAGGCATGGAACATACCAAAGCTGGCTGTCCTCACGGGTAGGTACCTGTGGTCCTTCTCACCGGTCATCCCCAGTACTCGCTGAAGAACCTGCCCACCAAAGCTGCCTTGGCCGAGGGGAAAGAATCCAGCAGGTAGTACCTGCTGGATAAGCAGCAACATACTGAAGGGAACTTTTAATGTGCATAGGCATTAGAGTAATCTAAGAAACATTGTGCATACGTGCATTGAGGATACCTTGGGTATATACGTAAAACTTAAGATGGTTCTAGAAAGGAAGCTGAAGAAATTTTACCGAGAATGATAGACTAAGTAGATATCAAGAAAATATCAGTGATAGCCTTTTACCTAGAGGTAAGGAAACTGGCTTTAGTTGTGAAATATAACATCTTCCACCATTAATGATGCTGTCTTAAGATGTATGGGTTGTAGGATTATATAAAAGGATTCCCATCCCTCCTTGACAAAACCTGAAGAAACAGAAGTGAGGAGGAGAAAAAACATTGTACGTGGAGACCATGGGTGGCTAATTTACATAAAAATAGAGAATTCACATTAGGATCATGATATGGGTCCTCCCCCCCCCCAATTTTGATACTCAACAGTGATTGGGGTTAAGCAACATTTAAGATTTTTCAAACAATGCAGGGTAATAAAGATAGTTATTTACATAATTTTATCTACATGGTTTCAGTATTATTCCTAAATTAGCAAATAATATGTAAGTCTATGATTGTGATCTGTCCTAAAAAGAAATGTCTCGACTTAACTTTTTATGAGGCCTGTTGACTTCAGCTCTGATTCAATATGACTTGGAGATTGAGGGATTCACAACAGGCATGATTTGATTCAAGTTTGTGTTCTGAGATTTGAGAGCAACCTGATTCAATCTGAGTTGCTATGAAATTTGATTTGGGGGAAATACCCATCCACAGACTGTAATGGGAAAAATTCAGACGTGTTTTAATTTTTTGATAGAATGGGATGAATATAATAGAAATGGTAAATGCTTCAAAGGATATTAATTAAAGGCAGCTTTAGTTGGGTACCTTCAAAGATGTTACAACAATACATTTTTAAATATCTCCCCTCAGCTTCTTTCAGGACAGAAATGTTGGTGAGGAAAGGACAACACTTTTCTTTTAATGTGATCAGTGTAATAATATGCACAATTGCACTGCTTTTGCACTGCTGCAAAAACCAGCAGTGCAGGTTTTTAGATCAGGGCATTTTCAAATATATGTAAACAAATTTAATTGCACTAGCTCTACACTGTATCCATAGTTCTCCAAAAGTATGTGGAGTAGTGATAGGATGAACCTGAAATAGCTGTAAATAGTTTGTAAAAACAAAGCCCAGAATGAAAGAAGACCTTGGTGATACTTTCTGTCCAGCTGCCTGCTATATGGGACAAAACCAATTCCTTGGAGGCTTATCAATATCCTACTGAACTTGGAAAAAGAAAGAAAGAAAAGAAAGAAAGAAAGAAAGAAAAAGAAAGAAAGAAAGAAAGAAAGAAAGAAAGAAAGAAAGAAAGAAAGAAAGAAAGGGGTTTATGCTGTATTTAGAAGAAAGAGACTTTCTCCCTTAAGCAGCTAGCATGTCTCTTCCTGCTCCAAAAGTGTTCCCAGTTTAATGACTTTTTCCAGTCATTAAAAGAGAAAAGTTAGGCAGTTATTTCCTGACTACTGGAAGAATGGAGCATAACACAGAGGTTGAGAACCCACACTAGGGCTATGCATGCTTCAAAAATGGTTTGGAAGAAGCGATTTGGACAACACAGGTATGAGTGTAACAGACCTTTAAAGCAACTATGTCTTTTTTCAGGCTTCAGGTGGGAAACACAATTGAACAAGTTGACTTATTCAATTAGAATTTCACTTGTGCATTTTTCTGCAAAAGATGAATTTGAGCACTGTGTTTTAGACCAGAGTTCCCCAACATTTCCAACTTTGCGGACCAGAGGGGGAAGGAGATAGTATGCACAAATGGCTGGCAAGCGCACATGCCTGCTGCTCACGTAACTGTGCACATGCTTGCCCGCTCCTAACGCAAGTGAGGATGTGTGTGTGCCATTTCCGTGACCCTATTGCAAACCCCTCAGAGCCCATTAGTCAGTCCCATAGGTTGGGAACCCCTGTTTTCGACTACTGTAATGCATACTATGTGGAGCTTCTGAGAATGTTTGGTAATTGAAACTGGCATTAAATATGGCTAAGTTATTGACATATACTATGTAGATCATTGAATACTCTTTTCTACTTTCTTCTGATGTATGTGTATAACCTGCATTTCTATTTAGAGATCACACTTTTGGCTTCATTATAACTTTGCAACGAACCAACTTTTTTTTTAATCTAAAAGGTCTGGGGCTATCTGAGAGATTATTTTTACTTCATTGTTTAACATCTAATGAGGTTTATCAACAAACATACCATGTTTCCCCGAAAATAAGATCCTGTCTTATATTTTTTGAATCCTGCGCTCAAAAGCCCAATTGGGCTTATTATCAGGGGATGTCTTATTTTGGGGGAAACAGGGTAGTAACTTAGATTGATGCACACATGTGGCAACATTACATTTGACCTAAAGAGATCATATTGATCCAATATTTCCCTAGCTTTAATATTTCCCTGTGCTATAATGCAGATGTAAACTTGGATTAAATTGCTCTCCAGTTTGTTTTAAATATGGGCTTTTTTTTTTGGTACATTTTAAAAAAATATATACAGTCATGGGGATCTTTTGGACAGAAAAACAATCTTCCCATTAAAAATCTTGAGGATACCAGTTTGTCTCTTTAAAGTTGGTTTACTGCAGGAATATACCAGCTAAGAGCCCTGAAAACCTTGGATACAGTTTCTAGAATCCCTCCAAAAGCTGTCACCAAATTCTTCAATTTTAATATAGCAGAAAGTGGAAGTATTTAATAAATTGTACTTAGTCTATTTAATTGGGATTTAATTTAAATCAAATTAAATTTTGTCCTTCCCCAGCCACTTCTGATCACCCTGATCCTTGAGAACTGCTCAAAAGGTAAATTCTGCACTCTGCCCCGGAAAAAAAATGATTTAGTGAGAAAACAAAAAATTGAGATATAAAACTACCCAGTCTTTCAGTGGCCAGTGTTCAATGTCTTAATAGCTGAAAACTAATTCTCTCACATAGCAGAATTATGCCAGGGAAAGTTGTAAAGTCCTCCCCACTGAGAAATCTTGGAAGGGAGGGAGGAATCTAACTCACAGTAGGAAGAACTATATATTGCTCTTGATCTTTGTCTACCAAATGTAGGGGTGTTGATCTACCTATCTTATATCCACACTTCTCAATTAATGATTTTCAAACAATCTGGAGAAGATCATTCCATATGTCAAGCAGGACAATTTAACATTTCATTGGAGATGGATTGCATCCCTAAAACGTTTCTGTATGGCTGGTCTCATAGTACATCCAGTACTTCAAATGGAATGGTTTAAGGTTATATAAAGGCTTGAATTTTATTTGTCCATCTGGAGACTATGGATGAATTCCAGGTTTCACAGTATTTACAAATACACTTTTCTATCTATATACTACAGCATGAAGACACATCTATATCCATTGTGCATTTGGGGTTAAATGCCTGTGTGACCTGCTAACTGAAAGAGAGACTACAGAGATTAAGCCTGCAGTTTGTACCTCTACTAGTATATTTGCAAACAG